TTTTTCTTTTTTTCCAAAAGTAGTTCTACAGTCACACATTCCAGTAAATTATCTACTACCCTTGACATTTTCTCCACTCTATTATAACAAAAGTTTTTATCTATGTACAAGGCCACACCACCACTTTATTGATATATTGCTTGCTAAGAAGAGACTGAAACCATGACCCTGTTTCTTTTCAGCTCTGACACCTGTTTGTGAATATACTGACAGTCTTCCACCAGTTTTACCTTTCCTACCCCAGCCCCCGTCTGGATCCCTCTAGCTCATCAGACTGAGAGAATGGAGGTCTATGGGCTCTGGAAGTCAGACAAACACAGTAGCAGTGTGAAGGCCTGGGATCGATCCACAGTACTATGCAACAACTCTGAAAGCTAGAGATGGTCATTTATGCTGGGTGAACCTTACAAAACACCTGAAATACAATGAAGGATGGTGACTGATCATGTACATATGATATGGGGAAAAGTGTACACGTTCTTGTGTGTACTCTGGTATGTGTGTATATTCTTCACTGAACTTTACCAAAGTAGAGGCAAGGTTGTTAGCAAAAAATAAAATTACAACAGGCGGCAGTAATATGTTGTTTTGAGGTTTCATCCACAAAAGCATTTACTATTTATGCTTTAGGCATGTTTGAAGAAATAACAACTATTGAGAAAATAAAATAATGCCCTGATATATTTTCTCTCAATACCAGTTGTGGAACAATTTTGAGGTACTGTAGTTGTATTTGTGTGTTGTCACTTTCTGCTACTTAATATTCCTATTCTACTAGATAATATTTTCTATTCTCCTCTATTACATAGTGTACTAAAAACAACTGGGTTGAAACTGATGCAGTGCTAGGTGAATAAAGTTAGATGAGTGGTACTATCTCCCTCTTTCAAACACACATTTGTTTTCATTTTTGTGGGGATTTTATACAGTGCCTTGCGAAAGTATTCGGCCCCCTTGAACTTTGCGACCTTTTGCCACATTTCAGGCTTCAAACATAAAGATATAAAACTTTAATTTTTTGTGAAGAATCAACAACAAGTGGGACACAATCATGAAGTGGAACGAAATTTATTGGATATTTCAAACTTTTTTAACAAATAAAAAACTGAAAAATTGGGCGTGCAAAATTATTCAGCCCCCTTAAGTTAATACTTTGTAGCGCCACCTTTTGCTGCGATTACAGCTGTAAGTCACTTGGGGTATGTCTCTATCAGTTTTGCACATCAAGAGACTTAAATTTTGCCCATTCCTCCTTGCAAAACAGCTCGAGCTCAGTGAGGTTGGATAGAGAGCGTTTGTGAACAGCAGTTTTCAGTTCTTTCCACAGATTCTCGAGTGGATTCAGGTCTGGACTTTGGGGGGGGGGGGGGGGGTCTCTTTCTCATGCAGAAAGCTATTTACAGGGAAATGCGATGGATTAGCTGAAGCTCATCAATAGGGAGCGCCTGCTCACCCGGTGCTTTACAGACTGGCCACCAATCGAAGGGAATTTCAATATTTACCTACATCCTCGTTTTGTTAGTTGCAGTTAAGCAAACACGCAATTCGCTAATTCATGTTAGTGGATGAGTGAGACTTGTTTAAGTATTTTCCTTCCACGCTAATGATGATTCATTTGAATGACTTTAGGTGTGAATTTTGACTCACGGGCCATTGAATACAGATAAACAACAGGGTGGTTCGTTTTAACATCTATCCATGAGCCAATTTAACGATCATATTACAATTACATTAACTGGGCAGATAGTTTTGTTCTGACCTATTGTACATATGTTATTTGTCTGTCACACACACACACTCCTGCAAACAGAAGTATATAAAATGTATTCACACACTGTTGGAGTGAGATGAAATACACAAGGATTAAAGGCACCCAACACCACAAAGTCACATCACAAAATGCCAAAACAGTCAAAAGTGCATTCATCAGTCTACATGAATTAAATCGATCGTTTCATGTATTTGTTTTATACAGTGTGGCTCCGATGGCATTAGTACCCCTGCAGAGGCAGATCATGAGGAATTGTTTAGTGTTAGGCTGTACCGGAGATCTTTGAGTTCTGAAAATCATTTTCGAGCTGAGGTTAACAATTGTTTAGGTCCTTTTGATGAAGGAAAGCAAAGCAACAAATTACTGAAAAAGTCTAGTTTGTGTTGGCCGCTACAAAGTATTAACTTAAGGGGGCTGAATAATTTTGCACGCCCAATTTTTCAGTTTTTTATTTGTTAAAAAAGTTTGAAATATCCAATAAATTTCGTTCCACTTCATGATTGTGTCCCACTTGTTGTTGATTCTTCACAAAAAATTACAGTTTTATATCTTTATGTTTGAAGCCTGAAATGTGGCAAAAGGTCGCAAAGTTCAAGGGGGCCGAATATTTTCGCAAGGCACTGTAGTTAAATGATTTACATGCATACATAGATTATGAGACAATGAGCCCCTGGGCACAGACATGTAAAAGCCTCAGACTGAAAGAGAGAAAATGATCGTTTTTCTCTATTTTGCATTAATTTTGTGTCTCTTTGTAATTGTTTTGTGTTTCATTGTAGTATATTTGTGACTCTTGCATCTATTTGTAGTTGATTTGAGTCTTGGTTCTGTTTGGTCATTCTGTGCCTTTTTATATTTGCAGTATTTTTGTGCCTCTGTAGTCATTTTGAGTCTTTGTATTCATCGTACATCTCTTTGCAGTCACTTGATCTACTTGTTGACATTTTTGGTCTTTGTTGTTCTGTCTTTGTTGAGTGGGTTGATTGACTTAGCCTACCAACAACTATTCAAATATTCAGTTCAGCTCAAACAGAGGCTGGCCAGGGATCCCTAAATCCTGGGCCCCTAGTTCAGTAATATTAATTCAGTGATACAGTAGTTCAGTAAAGTGGAAGCCCAAACCACCACAATGTGATTGTGTATGCTCCAGACACACGCGCACACACACTGCAGCTCCACATTGTTTTGGTTGGGAGGAAGGAATTTTCTGGTATGGAGGAAATGTTGGATAGTAGGTGAAAATGGTTTGAAGTTAATCACTGCAAAATCAGACAAAACATAATCTCGTTTTGGGCTGTTGAGCCCAGGTTACACATGCCACTGCTTCACTCAGTAATAATAGACAGTTAAAAAGGTAAATTGGTGGACGTCCAGCTCGTGTCAGAGAAAAAGAAGAAAGCACCTCCGTTTTTGGCAGTGCATTTTCAACACGTGGCAAAGGGACAACGTAATCTAGTAGACGCAATTTTTTGCATTAAAGCACAGGTCAAGACAACTGTAGACACCTCCCCTAGCAATTTACTATCGACAGATCCGAACATTTCCAACAGGAGTGACTGCATGCATGTGAGAGTCTGCACGTAGCATTCAGACCCAGAGCTTAGAAACCAGCCCTAACCAGCAGATGGCCAACAGTGCAACGAAACGTCGCAGATAGGACGAGCTATCGGACCGTGCGCATCTTCTTCCGCTAACTGCACCGAGTCCGTTCGAGCCAGAGGACAAACCGTGGACATAACGTTACTTCTGCTAACGTACCGGATGCTCTGGTTTAGGTAAATATCGACTCCTGCATTAACATATATAAAAACTTTGTGTCCTTTTCAGGTAGTTATTATGATAAACATACAGTTATGCTCTGTCTTTTTCGCAGTATTTTCAGTTTACAGCAGAAACTCTGCAAACCTCTGGTCTCGAGTTACATTGAGTTAACGTTAGCTAACTCGATGAAAACTAGCTAAACTGGATGATATTTGTGATATAGGAAAGACTGATTAATAGATAACGTTAGTATAATGAGCAAAATACGGCCAGTTATGGTTGAAACTAGCGACAAAGAAAGCCAACTTTGTATTTTGCGTGTGAAACTTAACGTGATATTTCACTGAAGTGCTGCGTGAGATGCTCCGTTAACAGCGTATGTATTCATTTTATTGTTAGTGCGCTATATTCTGTACATTAACAGCCATAGTCCACCATATTAATGCACCGAGGCCAGAGTTATTTGGAGTTAAAAGCTCATATTGGCTGGATTATAATTTACATTCTTGTAGGCTTAGATAGCCCAAATGTCATTTCAGACTAGCTTCTGCCTTCCAGAAATGAAAAGTCTACCAGTGGGAAGTCAATTTGCAGGGGTTATTGACGGATTATTGCAGTGAAGGATTTCAGTCAGACTCCATTGGAAGGAGTTCAGCCCCCACAGAAGTTGACCGGTGGGGAGGGGCGAAGACGTGGCAGTCCTCTTCCATCCACATCCCGTGTCTGACTCCACAGCTTCACTCCCAGTGAAACGTAGTTAGTGGACATGAGATGTTACGTTTATTTAGAAGTGTAGTGATTTAATTAGAAGCGTAGTGACTGCAGTGAGGCAGGCTAAACGTATTCTGTAACTCATATCACCCCTGGCAGGAGTGCTCAAAGGTTCCTCTTAGTGATATAACAGGACACTTTCTTATACTATACACTACTGATGTGAAATGTTGTGAAGCCACACATTAATGATTTCATGGAAATAATATTGATGATTTTATTAATGGTTTTATTTTACCCTCTGATTTCCACCCACCCGAGGCTATGTTTTCCTGTGTATTCTGTGGATAAGTAAGCATGACATGAGACATTTCTTTAAAGTCAAAGAGGAGAACTTCTTGCATGTAGATTTTAAAATACAGTACATAATGTAGTTTTTCAAGTATAGGGGAAAATCACTGGTAGAAATGCTTAAGTATTGACAGCACGCTCAGGATTTTCTAATATGATGCAGTCATGCTGTATTTTTAAGGAAGTGGTTCAGATTTGCCTCCAGAAGAATAAAACTTAGCGTAACTGGTGCAGGGTTTGTTTCAAGGTTTGTTGGAAGTCCTTCTACACAATGTAGGAAAAATCAGAAGTGACAGGAAAGCAGTAAATTGCGTAATTAAGCTAACTAAATGTAATACCACAATGTATTAGGCCTGTCTATCAGATTAGCATTTTCTGAGGGACGTTCCTTGCTGATGAGAGCACTTCCAACTTTCCCACAATTAACACGAAGCTGTGAAAAAAGTCACCTAATGTCCATGAATGCAGTCCAGCCAAACCTTCGGACAATTTTTATGCAAATAGGCCCATCTGTTTAAACAAAGTGTCTGTCAGGTTACACTTTAAAATAGGTTTATAGGCCACTGGGAATGTTGGGGAGTCCTCACATGTCACATACAAACATGTATGTACACAAACACTTTTGCTAGCCCTCACTCTCATGTGTGGCCTGACTCAGTGATTAAAATTATAGTTGTTAGCGTCTTAATCTTAATATTACACTTCTGTGACATTATAACAAGAGAGGTACAGTAGTTGTCAACCTGTCATTACAGTAATTATGTTCTAGCTTTCATCCTGGAAATCTGTGCGGCAGAGGCTCCACACGCTCTGGAAATACATTAGCCGCTGGGGATAAATATATGCTGCATCTTGCTTTGCTGTTTCTACTTAACTTAAATTTGGTTTCAGTGTAACTGAATTTTGGTTTAACTGAATATGTAGCGTTTTTACAGACTTATTTTTCTTCCTCGCTACTTCCTCCTGCTGCCCTAAATTGAAATCCCATATGAAGTCACTGTTTTATTTTCACTCAAGGCTTGTAGTTGTGGCAAAGTCAGAACCTGCCTGAGCCTGCTGCTTCCAGTGAAAGGCATTACATATCTGCAACAAAGCACGTATCATGCACAACCTTTAGATTGCCACCAGGTGTATGTGTGTATGTATGTAAATGTCAGTAAGTAGCTAGCATGAATTTACACATGGGTGTTATTGTTGTCCAAATTAAGTCTCCAAATCAGAGGCAGAGCAGTAGTGTGAGCATTTGTCTTTATCATAAGTGCCTTTTGCAGCACTTTCAAGAAAAAAAAGGAAGAGTCATGCTCAGCTTGTTGTTGTACTTGTGTTATATATAAACTGTCTAATCCACTGAAACACCCAAGGTCAGAGTTTACCAATTTCTGCTGTACTGGTGATAACTTCAGTATTCTCAGTTGGTTAACATCCCTCCAAGAGAGCATAAATACTAAGCTCTCTCTCTCTCTATATATATATATATACAGCTTCAGACATTTGTTGTATAATTCTGGGAAATTGTGATTCTGTCTGAATAATTTCCTTCCACCATTTTCCACCAGCTCTACATCCTTTGCCAGTTTAACTGGAAGCATTTTTATCACAGTGTGCTGCACAAAAGTTCAGCACAGCATTGTGTATATGTTCAGTTCTGTTCTTTTGTTCGTCTGTTTTGCCAGACTGTTATCTCAAAAACATGTTAACAAATTTAAATAAAGTTTCTGGAAAGGAAGAAGTGATATTGTTTCAGGTGGAGTCAGGTACTTGAGTGGATCCAGGAGAGATTTCTTAACATTGCATGATGATAACATTTTTACAAATTTTTCATGAATCACTGGATGTGAATGGGTAGAAAGATCAAAGTCCTCACAGGCCAAATGCCCAGTAGTGGTTATGGCTACGCCAACTCTCAAGCTAAACCAGGCACAGTGGCAGCAACCACAGACTTATATTTGGCTTTGTGTGGCGGTTGGGAGGGTGCACTTCCAAAAGGATTAAAGCAATTCTCCAGATTTTTAAGTTTAGTTCAAGGTTTGCTTTACCTCTTGTTGCACCTGAAGATATATTTTATTTTCAGTCTTTTTGGTCAGTTCACAGAGATTACAAAAAATATATTTTCCCATTTAACCTTAAGGATATGTAACCATACAGATGGTTTTGGTTTTAACTGGACAAGTTTTGGACACCTGCCACTGAGACTTGTGCTCATTCCGCAGTAGTATGCCTTTCCAGAAATGTGTGATATTAGTGTGTGACAGCCTGCAATAATATGGGCATAGCATGACAGACTGTTGTCTAGCCTCACACAGCTCACTGACACTTGTCACCGTGGTATGTCAGTAGTGATGGAGAGGTCTTCTGGAGGGTTTACCAGGGAAACATGGCAGCTCATTTACCAGGGAGAAGTGAGACCGTACCAGAGATCAGTCTGGATGTTAGCAGACAGCCAAGCATCCTACGTCATATACATTTAATATCTATCTATCTATGGTTTTCTTAAGGATGGAGCTACCATGTTGGTGTTTTCTGTTGCTGTGCTGTCTGCAGCCACTCTCAGCCCACAGTGACTTCTTCACCTCCATAGGTAAAACCATCACCAAACATATTCATGTTGTAAAGAACTGGCCCCTCTGCTGACTTGGTTTTTTATTTTTTATTTTTCATGTTTTACCCCACATATGGAAGCAAAAGTCTTGTTAGATTAGTAATTTTTTGTTGCAGTATTGATCATAAAGTGTTTCTAATTTTCATTTGACAGGCCAGATGACAGATCTGTTATACACAGAAAAAGATCTGGTCACTTCTCTAAAGGACTACATCAGAGCAGAGGAGAACAAACTAGAGCAAGTCAAACGGTGAGTTTGCACACACACAGGTACACACATCAATTACTATTTTATATAAAGAATTAGTGGATGAAATTGTAACTCTGTTGTGTTTATGATAGGTGGGCTGATAAATTGGATTCGTTGACAGCCACAGCCACACAGGACCCCGAGGGCTACCTGGGGCACCCTGTGAATGCCTTCAAACTGATGAAGAGGCTGAACACAGAGTGGGGGGACTTGGAGAGCCTTGTACTCAGAGACACTACCGATGGTATGGATAAAGAAAACCTGGTTTGAATAGTAACTCAGAAACAACTCAGTTTGCTGAGAGTATAGTTAGTTAATTATGAAGGACTGGTCTCCAGCACTATTTCACATTGGTCAGAATGATTAGTTGTATTTTTTTTGTTTTTTAGCCATTAGAGAAAAGCAAAAGGCTAAAATAAAGGACTGTTAAGCCAGGAAAAGCTGTGTATTGGTCATTGTTTTACAACAATGCTGGGCAGCTTACTTGATATATATTAGTAGCAATCAAGCACCTTGCTCAGTCGCCTTCATATGAGTTATTGAGGTAGAAGAGAACATCACTCATTCATTTACTATAATTACTCAAGATCCAAGTCACACCAGTCTCGCTGATCATTATTGATTGTCCACCAGCCTATTTTATATTCCATAGAGAAATATCTGACTAAATCTTCATCTGTCCTTTGCTGCCCATCTCTCTTAGGATTTATTTCTAACCTGACTCTCCAGAGACAGCACTTCCCAACTGATGAGGACCAGACCGGGGCTGCTAAAGCTCTCCTCCGCTTGCAAGACACTTACAGACTGGATGCCAACACCATCTCCACAGGAAACCTCCCTGGTAAGGGCCTTAAATCAGTGCTTAACACATGTACCTGGAAAAGATTAACAGAATAAGTGCCATGAAAGTCACAGTTAATCATGGAATACATGGTGGGATAGATGATTTCTGGCTTTGTTTTTTTCTTCTATGGTAATGTTCTTCTCCCATATACATTTTAGGAGTGAAACACAAGAGTCATATGACAGCAGAAGACTGTTACGAGCTGGGGAAAATCGCCTACTCTGAGGTTGATTACTACCACACAGAGCTGTGGATGGCCCAGGCCCTGAAACAGCTCGATCAGGGAGAGGAGTCCACTTTAGATAAAGTTGCAGTGCTTGACTACCTCAGCTATGCCATCTACCAGCAAGGGGAGATAGAGCGAGCCCTGGAATACACTAAGAGGCTGCTTGAACTGGGTGAGCCCCTCCATATTACATACCGTACTTTCTGGACTATAAGCCGCTACTTTTATCGCTTCATGCACACACCCTCATCATGGACAACACACGACGAAATGCATATGATACCGCTTCAAGTTACAGGCGATCGATCTGGCTGTCGAAATATCTCATGTTACAACGTGGACACCTGTGACTATGTACAACATGTTTTTTCGTCTTACATTTAGTGGGTGTGGCTTATAGTTTGGAAATTGCGGTAGTACTTCTAAAAGTGTACTCAGATGCATATTTAGCCATGTGAAGTGATATTGTCACTTTGGATTATGAAACGGGGTTTCAGCAGGTCCTTAAAAAGTCTAAAATCAGATTTTGATAGGTTTTAAAAAATTATCGATCATGCTTGGGTTAAGTTGACGATTTCTCAAAACTAAATAAGGTGAATAAATAGCATATAATGTCATGTTGGAAACTCAGCCATTTTGATTGCAGACAGTGTGATATTCTTAGATAACACTGTTACAGTCACCTCTGTCTGTAATCCTCATTGTTATTTCTGTTGGTCTCACATTTACCTCTTTCAGACCCAGAGCACCAACGTGCCAATGGCAATCTGAAATACTTCGAGTTTCAGTTGGAGAAACAGAAAAAGGCTGCGGAGGAGGAAGCTCAAAAACAGAAGGAGCGAGGGAAAAGAGAAACACCAGAAAAGAAGAAGAAGAAGCCCAAAAGGGTCTCTGATCATCTGATCCCAGAGAGGAAGAAGTATGAGAGGCTTTGTCGTGGGGAAGGCATCAGAATGGTGAGTAACGACAACGATGAACACAAAGACACACTTTCTATGTTACAAAATGCACTTCACTTTCAACTCCTTTGTCTCCTGCTTTTCTTTTCTCTCAATCAGACCCCCCGAAGGCAGAGCAGGCTGTTCTGTCGTTACTACGACAACAGTCGCAACCCCAGGTATGTGCTCGCGCCTGTCAAACAGCAAGATGAGTGGGACCGCCCCTACATTGTGCGCTACCTTGACATCATCTCAGACAAAGAAATCGAGAAGGTCAAGCAGCTGGCAAAACCAAGAGTAAGTAATTCTCAGTGTTTTTCTGTGTTCCTATGATGCCATATAATCTATGTCACTTTATAGTTACTTGTGCTTTTTCAGTTTCTGTTATGTTTAACTGAGTGTGTTGAGGGGTGGGAAGTCAATGCTGTGAGGCTGGTCGATGTGATGCTGCTTTTTAGGCAAGCACATCTTTTTATGTGTGTGTCATGGTGTTTT